ATTCTAGAAAATGCAAATGAATCTAAAGTGATAGGAAGCAACACAGTGGCTGCATGGGTGCAGAGAAGGATTGCAAAGAGACAGGGGAGTAGTTGTGGATAATTAATATGTTCATTTTCATCAATGTGGTAATGGTTTCACAGGTGCGTAAATATGTAAAAATTTATCAAAGTGTATACTTTAAATATGTGTAATTTATTGTATGTCAATTATAGCTCAATAAAGCCATTTAAAAAATAGAACAGTTTTAATTAACAAGACGAAAGGTTTCTATCTTACTTGTTTTGTTTTTAGCATAGAATAGAAGCTGTATGAGAGCAGAGATATTGTTTATCTTGCTTATTTTGGGTCTCTAGTGACTAAACTTAGGTGTACCGATTACTACTTCTGAGTAACTAATGCAAAATGTAGTGGCATAAAATGGTCACCTATCATGTTCATAGATCCTCTGCATGAATTTATGGCAGAGTTGGGATGGCTTCTTTCTGTTCCATGATATTTGAGGTCTTAACTAAATTGTTGGGTACTAGAAGCACTGGAGCTCCCTTATCACTTCGTGTGGTCTCTCCAGCGAGGAGGCTCCAAGGTAGCCAGACTTGTTACACGTCAGTTCTGGGCTCTCAAGGTCTGACTTCCAAGGGAGAAATCTAGGAGGAAGCTGTATTACAGGTTTTGTAATCTACTCCCAGAAGTCACTAAGGGGCACTTCCACCACAGTATTTTTGATTGAGGCAGTTATAAAAATTTGCCCCGGTTACGGTGAAAGAATATAAATACCACTCTCAATGGAGGATTCTCAACAATTGTGCCAACATTTTAAGAACACGTGGAAGAGAATATATATCAGTGCAGCCATGTTTGGAAAATTCAGTCTGCTGCACTGTGTCTATGTTACACAAATGAAGATATGAATATGAGTTGGTCATTTCAACTTCATATGCAGTCTTACATGCCATAGAAAATGAAATCCATGCATTCATTACACAGATGCACAGAGTGCATCTTTTTTACACAATGTGGTTTCAAGATAGAATGTTTTAACTTGTACCCTGAAGGAGCTCATATTTATAGATAAATATATGAGAAAAGAGAAAGAAAATATAGAAAATGGCAACTTAGCACAGAAGGTTTAAGTCTTAGGGAAGGTATTTAGTATTATCAGGGTTTTGAGAAAGCAGAGGCTACTACTGGCTGAAGAAACAGTAAATGCTGCATGGGGTGTGGAGTATTAGAACTAAGACTGGAAAGTTTAGTAAGATTTCCACAGAAGATGCTGAGAGACAAGCATTGAAAGTAAGGAAATAAAAGTTTGATTCAAGAAATTGACCAAACCTACTACATTATCTGAAATTCCAAGGCCCCTTTAGAGCTACAGATTCTACACCCTACTTCTAGAGTATTTTAATTTATTAAATTCCTCTCCCCCAGGACATTTTGATGATCAATCAGATTTTGAAACCACTGAGGTATAGGATATACGCAGATGGAAATAAAGATGTCTGTAAGAAAGATTAGAATCAAATCATAGGGGACTTAAATGAATCAAATGGTCTGCAATAGAATCTGATGATTATTTCACTTATATTTTTTAACTTATCAGAGCACCACACTTTCCAGCTAAATGCTGCACATTTGTGGTAAGTCAGATTATAAATCAGTAAATAACAAATAATGACAGCATTAAGTACTTGATGATACATCGGCAAGCCTACAGTGTAACTTTAAATTACGATTTTTTAAAACATGGAATTTAGAGTCAGGAGAAAGCTTAGTAGTCCTTCAGTTTCTTTCCCTAAGTTCACAACCTTATTTAATTCTTCCCCAAAAGTGTATATAAAATTCCTTTCTATTTTGCATGGAGGAGACTTCAGAAATTCATTTCACAGGAAAGTTTCAGTGGAGACACATTTTGTGATATAGAATGAAAGGTGCCTTATGCACACAAGATGTTATACCTATAATATTGCTGTCATATTATTTATAAACCATAGGCTTTTCATATCACTTTTATGCACTGGTAGATTTTGGCAGTTCTATGGTTTCCTTTGATATATAATTTATTGTGTCAACTAATCCTGAAAAAAAAATCCACAATAAATAGATAAATTGATGTTCATCCAGCAGAACTATACAGTACGAAATGTAAGTTCATTTGCAGAAAAGAAAAGCTATATAAGAAGCAGAACCATTGTTTGTCAGTTTTGAATTGCTAAATTTGTTCTTTGCCAAAATTTCTAATTTCTAATTAGGATTGTAGGTACTATTTCTCTCTCTCTCTCTCTCTCTCTCTCTCTCTCTCTCTCTCTCTGTGTGTGTGTGTGTGTGTGTGTGTGTGTGTGTGTGTTTCTCTCTCAGAATGGCATCTGTGAGTCTCTTTTGATAATGAATACGCCAAGGGGGCCCAGAGTTAAGTCTAGGCCTCAGAACTAGGAACATTTCCATCAAAGATGGTTTGTTAATAATAAAGTAAGGAGGGAAAAAAGCTATTTGCTTCTTTTGTGGCTCTGACCCTCCCTTGGTCCTGCCAGGCCTGCCTGAGCATCAGCAGAGTTCAGTGGTAATTAAAGCAACAGTGTTGTGAAAAAAGTGTGAATTACTTTTACCGGAAGACTTGGATGTTGCTACTGACTGACAAAGCACAGCGGGGGACTCTGCTGGATATTAAAGAGTGATGGTAGTCCCTGTATTGTAAGGTGGCTTTTCAGCACAATGCAAAATTGTGACTTTTCACAAGTTGATATCTCTGGAACCATTCGAGTTATCAGCTTAAAATTTAGATATATATTTTTTCCCCTTGGCAAGCTTGTGGAGCAAAACTATGTCACATTTCATGAAATGCGATATGGTGGTTGGAATTATGGAGAGCTAAAGTATATTTTCTTCCTTTTCTTCCCCTGGATTTTGACTCTATCATGGAATTATTTCAACCTTGAAGATTGCAGAAAATAGTGAGGAAAAAGCTATAAAGGGATCATATGTTCAACCCTTTCTTGGCAAGTTATTTCAATGTCAACTATCTAGGCTTTCTGTTTCTGTCATTTTTTAAAAAAGAAAGAAGTGCAGACCAGCACTCTGTTGACAATGCCAAGAAATGCCAACTCTGGGCTCTCAGCACTGGTGTATAAATACCCAGAAGGATGGTGGGTTCCTCCCACCACACCCAGCCAGGAAAAGTTCTGATCTTACTCCTGTCACTGCCAATCTTGGTCAGCCAACTCCTACACAGGTATAATATTAATGTTGATTCTGCTCCTTATCCAGTGAGAAAAAAACGTCCTTAACCAAATCCAACAAACCAAATTTGTGGATGTGAATCAAGAGGATAAAATAGCCCAATAAACTATTAATCACTTTTCATTTTATAAGCTAACAGACACTATCAGTATTCCTGAATCAGGTTCACAGAGAACACGTGGAATTCTATGTAAAGACATCATCAACAAACCAGGGAAGACTGCAACTGGTAAGATGCAACTGAAAAGTGATGGGAAATACGTATGTTATATGAGCCTGTATTAGTGATATATCATATAACCAATGAATAATATATCATGTAACATGCAAACGCTCTTTCATGTTTATCACTTTCTCCCTGAAGTAAGTGGGTTGAGATAGTGAGTAAAATTCCTATGCTTGGTATATTTTTGGTAACCTTACCCACATCTGACCACAGTGGGACCTTTTGTGGATCGATGGACACAGCAAAGCAGAAGGCAACGGAGTATGGTGAATAAGAGCTCACCCACACACTGTGCAACCCCAATTTCTCCATGTGCAAAAAGGTTGTAATAAGCATTCCCAACTTATTTTAAAAATTAAGTGAATTAATATATTAAAAATAGTTTAGCAAAATGCCTGACATTTAGGAGTAATTAATAAAAGCTAACCGTTACTATCATCATTATCAAACAAGGTGTGAGAATGATGCAAGGTGATCCAAGGAATCCCCTTTGCTTTTAGATATACTGATTCTGTGTGATTTGTTAAGCAATGGGGTAATATTTTTTAAGTAGCTTGAGGTCATAAAATGGCATTTAGGGGATGAGGCTGTGACATGCCAAACAATAGATGGTTTAAATAGACAACAATGATATAAACAGAATAACTGGGGTGCTCAAAATGACATTCTTTCACCCCACTAGTGCAAAGTTTAATTAGTATGTAAATGGCATACTCATTTAAAATTGACATAATGCCACCTCTTTTCATGCCAAGCTGTCAGGGCCTATGAAACTGTAAAATTCCTGACACTAAACATTTGTTGTAAACTGATCCTTCCAAAAGTAACTTAACTAAAGCTGAAAAGGCAGGAAAGGTGATAATCACTTTTTTTTTAAAAGCTACTTCTTCATTCTTTCTTTCAGAGAAAAAGGCCCAAATTGCTTTTGGGGAGAGATTCACCACATTATATTGGGCTGAGGGCATATTATGTGAAAGAAAAAAAAATACATGAACCACCAACCCCAGAGTGATGAAAAGCAAAACGGGTGAGGAAAAAAATACCCTCAATTGACATAGCTATTTTCATCACATCAAATCAGCCATCTGTTCTTGACATAGTTTATTATCATTAGGAAGATTTTCTCAATTCAGACATGGTGATGAGGAAAGATGAAGAATTAACCAGATAAATAGCCAATTTGGAAAATTCAGGCTGAGACCCTTTTCCTCAATTTCCATCCCCTCCTTTCTCCCTGCTCCATCATCACACTCCAATTATTCCAAGAAAAGCTTCAATGACATGATTAGACATGTTTATGGTGGTGTTTTTCTCTCACTTGTATAGGCATAACAAACTGAACACACTAGGTATCGAATGACACAAAGGTGATCGACATTGTACAAAAAATAATAATTTCCCATTGTCAAAAATGACTGCATAAACTTAGAATGACAGGTGGCTACAGTTAAGGGTGAGGGAATTAAATACTCTGAATTGAAGTATAAAAATGCTGATGTTTTCCTCCCAGAATTTATTCATTAGAAATCCATCAATTTACCTTGGGATAAGAGTGTTTAGAGAAGAAAATTTTCTTTGAAATCATCACGAAGTAATTCCAACAGCTCTGTGTGAGATAATCTGGAAGGAAAAAGTAAATGTTGGAAACCAATAATAAAAAGAAAATATTTAAATCCAATGCTTGATATCAACTTCATAAAGTGAAGTCGGAAATTCACAAAAGTTAAGCTCATACATTTAGGTGAAAAAGTTAAAAGAATACTTGACAAATATCAACACAACTATTTAAAAAATTATTCAAGCTGGTTATTTTATTTACATAATGTCGAAAACAAGTGTGATTCTCCCTCAAATAGTTTACAAATTCATGTTAGATTTATAAGAATCTAATTAACAGATTTTGAATTATACTTGAAAAAATATCTTTTTGATTAAAAACTTAAAAATGTTAAGGGAAGTAACTATTAAATCATGCAGACTCCACAAAACAACTTTCACTCTAACCCCCAGGTTATTTTGTGTATATATGTCTGTCTTTGATTACATTCCTGTGGTCTCTTATTCTGATCTTTTATACCTAAATATCTGATTTACAACTAATTGTCAAAAAAGCAACTTTTTATAACTCTTCATTCCTCATCAACTCTTTGAGTCATCATTGTTGCTAGACCTTTTTTTTGTTGATACTCTCTTTTCTTAATTTCATCTTTGTCATGGGATATTAATTATCTTCATAACTCACTTAGTATGCTCTTGGTTTTCTTTGTTGCTCCAACAAAGCTAAATATGGACATAGTCATTCCACCACAGTATTCATCAATTCAACAAATGTCTATTGAGACCCTACTGCAAACCAGGTGCTGTGCTCGCTGCTGGGGGTACAGCAGAGAATCAGGCACACATGATCCCTGCCCTCATGGAGCTTAAGTTTCTAGACTAGAAGTCAACAAACTAAAGCCTCCAGGCCAAATGCAGCTGGTCACCTAGTCTTGTAAATAGATTTTTCTTGGAACACAGCCATGCCAATTCATTTAAATATTGTCTACAGCTGCTTTTGGGATACAATGGCATGGTTAATTAGTTGCGGCAGAGACCTTTAGAACACAAAGCCTGAAATGTTTATTCTCTGGCTCTTTACAGAAAATGTTGGCTAATTCTGGTTGACTCTGATCCACCTTCTACTGTGGCAGCTCTTCAATCTTTATCTTGGAGAGTACATTCTTGATTTCTTGTTGTTTTAATCACTTCTACAAAAATGATTTCATAACCTTTAGTCATAGTCACGATCTCTCTTTTGAACTTCAATCACATATTTCTAATTGCCTATTTAACATTTCCTCCCCTGCACACACACACTGGTGAGTAAACCACCATTATTTCAACATAGCTAAGATTGAATTTATCTTTTTCCCAAAGTCAACTGTGTTCTACCATCAATCTCCCAATCACTAGGACTTAAGATTTTGGAGTTTCTCATTTTCTTCTAACATCTAGGTGAAAAAAAGTTTTAAAACTTTAAATATTCTTTGTATCTATCAACTAATATTTGTCTCTACTGCCACTACCTAGGTTTGAACCTCAAAATCTTACATTTGGATATGGTAATCATCACTCTCCTTATAGTTAATCCATATATGTCCAATGATCTGTCAATCAGTCTCCCTGAGACATCACCTTGTATATGTCATCAAAATCCATAGTAGCTTCCCATTACCAAGATAGGGATTCTCAATCTGTAGCTGGGGCTTTCTTTTGTGGGAATGCTACAAAATGACTTCAAGGGGCCCATAAATCCCATTAAATACACCAAGAATTCCCTGGGGGTTGAATAAATAAGTACCCTGAGAAGATGTATCACTATCTATTTTTCAAATGTACACAGATGTTCTTCCAATAATTAAAAAGTTCAGCCTGGGCAACGTGGTGAAACCCTGTCTCTACAAAAAAATATAAAAACTAGCCAGATGTGGTGGCATGCGCCCACAGTCCCAGCTACTCAGGTGGCTGAGGTGGGAGGATCACTTGAGCCTGGGAGGTTGAGGCTGCAGTGAGCCGAGATCGCATCACTGCCCTCCAGCCTGGGTAACAGAGAGACCTCGTCTCAAAAACAAACAAACAAACAAGCAAAAAACACAAAATACAAGGTTGCTTTTATAAGTTACTATATGGTTTGACTGTGCCCCTACCCAAATCTCATCTTGAATTGTAGTTCCCATAATTCCCACGTGTTGTTGGGGGGACCCGGTAGAAGATAATTGGATCATGGGGTCAGTTTCTCCTATACTGTTCTCATGATAGTGAATAAGTCTCATGAGATCTGATGGTTTTATAACAGGTTTCCCCTTTCGCTCGGCCTCATTCTTTCTTGCCTGCTGCCATGTAAGGTGTAACTTTACTCCTCCTTGCCTTCTGCCATGATTGTGAGGCCTTCACAGCCATGTGGAACTGTGAGTCCATTAAACTTCTTTTTCTTTATAATTTACCCAGTCTCAGGCATGTCTTTATCAGCAGCATGAGAACAGACTAAAACAGTTACCAATTTCATTGTAACTTTCTTCTCATTCTCTATTTTCCCAAGCAATTGATTCTAAAAGTGCAACTATTTTTTGTCTGTATTTTGTAATCAAATGATCTTCCATTGGCCATTAAATGCCTACTCTACCATGAGGAAGGGTCTGTTAATTTACAAGAAAACTATGGGAGCCTAAAACCTCAGCACTTGGAGGGGAATGTGAAAGGCTTAAAAACTCTTTAAATACAACTATGTCCTTTCCTCTCTCCTTGGATAAGAGCTATGGATTTGGAGGATTTTGTGAGGTACAGGATGACCTTGGAAAAATAGATGGCTGTTTAACTCAGTTTTAGACTTCAAAGAAAAGGAACTTGAGGGCTCCTGGTGGTTTCCACACTGTCTGCCTCTGCTGGTTACAGACCATGAGCATATTAGGGTTCTGGAGAGAAGGTTTAATAAATGATATGCATTTGGCATCCATGTCTTCCCAGGCATATTTCCTGGAAACCCAAAAGAGGTGGTGGAAAAGTGAACGTAAATACAGATGTATGTCAGGGGAAGGAAATTACTAAAATCCATATCCACATTTTTGACCCTGCAGTACCTGTGTCTTTCAGCTTAGCCCTTGTTCCTAGTTGTAGTGTTTTTTTTTTTTTCTCCCACTATCTCCCTATGTACTATTTGATAAGTGATGGCAGTTCTCCTGTTTCCTGGAATATTGTCATGGCATCCCTGGAACCCAGTGCAGTGCCATCAACCAGCAAGCAGAGAGCAACTAAAAATTGTGTGTGTTGCCATTATCCAGTAGCTGCAGAATAATCATAAAGCTCTTATTTTTCCTCATGTATGAGTCATTTGTCAGGGTGAGTACTCAGGCCAATTTACATATCTCAGAAACATCTCTGACATCACAGAACTTAGAGGGAGGTAAACTGGGAGAAGGGGGAAAGATGTGGCTACAGAATTGTCAGCTAGTAGTTGATTAACTTTGAGCTAGGTAATTTCTCAGAATTTTAGTCCCCTCTGTGGTAACTTGGAATAATATCTACCACCTCATTGCAGTTATAATAACTAAAGGAAATAAAATATAAAAGGATTTGGCATGGTACCTGATACATAGTTGGCAACCCAACAGTTGTTCTTAGAGGAGGGAAGAAGAGAAGGGGGTATGGATCTAAAATGATGCCTGTTATATATATTCCACTTGGTTTAGTATATGTCTGAATTACATTTGGCTTGGGATTACATTCCAAGGATATCCATAGTAGGGGAGGTTGATCTGACACAGTCAAAGAGAATTATTGGGTCTGGGAGTGATTAACTAGGAGTGAATTAACATTTATGGCGCTCCTATTACATAGCCAATTTAGTGGGCATCTTACATATTTTTTTTTATTTCATGCTTACATCTGTTCTGACACAAATATTAATTTTTGTGTGTGTTTCTGATCATAAGAAGAATATGGCCAGAAAAGGTTTGAAACATTGCTTGCGTCCACAGTTACTTATCAGCAGAGGGAAGACTTGAAATCAGTTCTAGGTGACTCTAGAGTTTTTCCACTCTTTCTCAATCACCAGGATGTCTCCTCTAATAATTTTTTATGTCTTGTCAAGTCACTCATCAATTTTCATGAAGACCACTGCCCAACTAGGGTATGTATTATTATCTTTTTCTTCATTCCAACAAATTTCATTTTATTAATTAAAAAGGTAGCAAATGTTTACAAAGGTTAAGTCCACATATTTGGAATGATAATTTTTGGAATGTCTAAAAGAACAAGGACTATACTAAGAGCAAGTGTGGCACTTATTCTCAGACACTTTAGTAGTCACCCAACTACCTAGCATGAATACGGGAGCTTGGCCCATCATGGGAGCCAGGACTGCTACAGTTGGCTTTGTGCCTTTGGCCTCATTCTTTGAGTCTGTCAGAAATATAACTTTGATTTCTAGAAAGTCCAATTTCTTCTCCTCACTTGCTATCGTAGATAATTGGACGAAATTGTTTATAGCCAGGACTTGCAGGGTGCAGCTCTCAAAAACTGACTTATATATAAGTAAATAGTAGCAAAATAAGGATAAAATGATGACATTCTTCAAGTAACAGATTTAGGTTATTGAAAATGATTATTTCTGTTTGCCTGCAACTGTAAAAAATCAGTTTCAGATCATAGCTTTTCTTTTATATAGTAAATGATGAATGACCATTTAAACATTGACCCATCTACTAACCAAGATGTTAAAAAATAAATAAAAACTTACTGTGCTAAAAGAGAATTTGAAGACTAAAATCACCTGATTTTTCAACTTACTGATTACATCATGGGGACATTCATTTGTCTTTACTTCAACTCTGGAATTGCATAAAATATATTTTCCCAACCAAGAAAATCCAGCCCTTTAGCTTCTGCATATTATATTTTTTCTGAATTCTGTAAATATGTTTTTCATCCAAGTTAGTATACCCTTTTAGACTTTGGAAATTGTGATGTCAAATCTAACTACTTGAATTAGTTTGTTCTCACGTTGCTATGAAGAAACACCTGACTGGGTAATTTATAAAGGAAAGAGGTTTAATTGACTTACAGTGCCTCATGGCTAGGGAGGC